GCCTTCCTATTTGATCCATGCACCTTGGTTTTAGAACCATGCTGAGTGGAAAGCAAACAGGCAACCACAGATCAGGACACCACGCCTGCAGCAGCCCAGGCTGGCCACGCCATACCTTCACAGCCAACAATTGTAATATATAGTCTAAGAAGCAGTCTCCATTTGGCATTGTTTAATTTATACGTTCTGAGCACTCCTCCTCCTCTATTTTTATCATGCAAGCAACTCAAAATATTTAAAATGAAGTTTACATTGTAGTTGTTTCCAAATCTTTGCTTGATAAGTATTAAGAAATATCTGTGAGCTTACTGCTATAATTTAAAGCTTTGTTGATTTTGTTTTTTGTTCGGATTTTTTCTGTTGTTGGTGGATAGGGGGAGAACAATGTATTCATGCTGGAATATGAAGTCTGAGGCCCCCCCACCCCGTGCTGGGAACACGTGAGAGTTGTTTAGAGTCAACAAGCACACTGCGCTTGTCGCTCATGCTTTGTATCATTTTTGAGTGATCGCTCTGTCAATCGACAATAAACAATATTATCAATGAGAAGCCGGGCTCTTGTGTGACTGCTTGTCATGCACTACCTTCTAGCTGAGGAATGAAAGGCTGGTGCCAGGCCCGGCCCAACCACCAGCACCTCCAGTGAGCCTCCCTGCAGAAGGGTCGCATCTGTAAATGTGCATCTGAAGAACAAGAATTAGAAGTTCCCCTCAGCACCGTCCCTAATGGAGATGGCCTCCCTAGAGGGCAGTTCTAAAACTGCCTTGCTAGCCACCCCCTGACAGTTTAGGGTTCTTGGAAAGAAACTTGGTAGGGTGTAAACCCACAGCTACATGGCCAAGGTGCCTGAAGAAGGTTTAGAAAAGTAACCCAACTTGGGCTATTGGGGAAACCCTGGTGACTTAAGTTCTTTGTGGGGAAGGGATCCCAGCCCAGTGAATTCTGGGGAAAGACGCAAGTGGCCTTGGGCTGAAGGTAGTCCTACAGGACCTAGGCAGGGACCCTCAGCCTAGGAGCCCAAGCCAACAGCTGGCAGCTTGGGGCGGTTCTTCAGAGCCTGGACACGCCCTAGCTGGTCATGATGGGTCTCAGAAAGGGGAGGGAAACCCACATGACTGACTACTATTGTATTTCCAGTCAATGGTGCAAGAGGGATATTAAACAAACACAGGGCTAGGAGGGTGGCTTAGTGGTAGAGTGCCTGCCTAGCATGCATGAAGCCCTGGGTTGGATTCCTGAGCACTACATAAACAGAAAAAGCCGGAAGTGGTGCTGTGCCTCAAGTGGTAGCGCGCTAGCCTTGAGCAAAAGAAGCTCAGGGACCGTGCCCAGGCACTGAGTTCAAGCTCCAGGACCAGCAAAAAGAAAAAAAGTACAAATTATTACAGCAAATTACAAAACAGCAAACTACTTCCTGTTTGACTCTTGTGGAAGCAGGTCACAGGGCTCCTGGGCTTGCCTGGGGGTGAGCCTGGCATGTGGCACTCCCTCCTGGCCTCCACTAGCCCTGCAGAACTCCTCTTGGTACAAGCAAATGAGAACCATCACCAATGAGATTCCTTTTGAGACTAAACAAAATCAAATGTGAAAAAAACTGCTGGGCCATTGAAAGAGGTCTTTATTTTGGTACCAGTGCTGTGAGGGCCTTGATCATGCCAGGCCCTTCTGCCTTCGCCAGGCTTCTGGAACAATGCTAACAGATCCGTGGACATGGATTGGGAAGATGACACAGGTATGCACCTCTGATGAGGGTTTCTCTCTGGAATCTGGCAACCCAGGACCACAGAGATGCCCATCACAGGGCTGTTATGCACTAGCTGTGGCAAGACTAGGGGTTGGATCTTGAAGTTTCTACTAACTGTAAACTGTCAGGGCTGGGGAGGCTTAGCATGAACAAACTCTTAGGGACCAAGGGCCACAACTGATGTAGAAGTCGAAAAAGGGAGTAATCTACAATTAGAACTGCAATAAAAGATCTATCCAGAGATTACCACACATCTTCTGCCATTCATGAAGGCAATGAAATTGAAGGAAAGGCTGAGTCCATTTTACCTCAATCTTCCAGGCTTAGCAGCCAACCAAGCAACTTCTGGGTGACAGTATTACTGTTAACATACCTTTTTCTCAAGGTATGTTCAAATACAGTTAATTTTGGTTAGAGTGTTTTGTTTGAGATGAGGTCTAGCCATGTAGCCCAGGCTGGCTTTGAACTTGAGGTTTTCCTTCCTCAGATTCTGGAGTGATGGGACCACAGTAGTGCACTGCCCTGTCAGGCCTCAATGTGGCTTTCATTTGCAATTCTCAGGTGCCCTTTGGAGTTGAGCACATGAAAAGATGTTCAACTTGGCCCTGTGAACATGTTGGGGACTTTGTCTGTGAGGGAATTAGGCAGTGGAGATGGGGGCGTCAAAGCCCCTCCCACCGTAATTCTAGGTTTCAGGTGTTACTTGCAAACTTGAGGGCTTCCAACAATTCCTGTCTTTTCCCCCCAAAATAAGTAACTGACTATCTCAGCTCAGTGTGAACTTGGAACCTGGCAGACCTGGTCTTGCACACTCAGGTTTTGTTTGTTGTTGTTTTTAATCTGTAAAATAACACCCTCTGTAAAATGAACCCTTTGGTGGGATGGCCATGAAGATGAAATCTCACTGTATTGGTAAGAGTGGCCACCTTCGTTTCTGATATCCATGGTAGCAAGTGTCGGTTTTGTTCTCTGAAGAAGAGGAGAGATGCAGATCTTTTTCCTCAGATGAGGAAACCAAGGCTTGGGTAAATTAAGGGAAATCGCCAAAGCGACAGACTCATTAGGGCAGAGCTGGGATTCAAACCGAAACAAAGCAGCCAAGGTTTTATTCTCCTGCCCGCGGGCCCCTTTCAGCCAGAAACACAGAGAGTGACCAGTGATACCTTGTGTCAGGCGCGCACCCTTTGAGACACCCTCTGATACAGTGGGCAGTCGGTCAGGCGCCGGTGGCTCTCACCTGCAACCCTGGATCACAAGGCCGAGACCAGAGGACTGGGGTTTGAGGCCGGCCTGGGCCGGCCTAAGTCTGTGAGACTCCTATCTCCCCACCAAAAACAAAGCCAGAAATGGAGCTTGGCTCAAGCGGCCGAGGGCTGGCGGTGACCCGAGCCCCCAGCGCCGGGAGCAGCAGCGTCCAGACGGAAAGCAAAGGCTGGCTGGAGGCCGTGGTCCCGGTGGCGGGCTGGTGGGGGTCGGGCACCTGCAGGGCGGGGGGGGGGGGCCTGTAATCCAGGCGGAGGGCGCCGGTCCACCAGGGCGGCGCGGCTCAACGCAAGAACGGAGGGGCTGCGGGCGCGGCGCAGCACGGGCTGAACACGCACGGGGTCCTGGGTTCGGCCCCCAGCACCGCACTAAAAACAGAGCCCCCGCCCACCGCGCCCTCCCTCCCACGGTGCCCCCCCGCCCTCCCTCCCACGGTGCCCCCCCCCCGCGCCCTCCCTCCCACGGTGCCCCCCCCCGCGCCCTCCCTCCCACGGTGCCCCCCCCCCCGCGCCCTCCCTCCCACGGTGCCCCCCCCCCGCGCCCTCCCTCCCACGGTGCCCCCCCCGCCCTCCCTCCCACGGTGCCCCCCACCGCGCCCTCCCTCCCACGGTGCCCCCCCACCGCGCCCTCCCTCCCACGGTGCCCCCCCACCGCACCCTCCCTCCCACGGTGCCCCCACACCGCGCCCTCCCTCCCACGGTGCCCCCCCCACCGCGCCCTCCCTCCCACGGTGCCCCCCCACCGCACCCTCCCTCCCACGGTGCCCCCCCACCGCGCCCTCCCTCCCACGGTGCCCCCCCACCGCGCCCTCCCTCCCACGGTGCCCCCCCCCGCCCTCCCTCCCACGGTGCCCCCCCCGCCCTCCCTCCCACGGTGCCCCCCCCCGCGCCCTCCCTCCCACGGTGCCCCCCCCCCCCGCGCCCTCCCTCCCACGGTGCCCCCCCCGCGCCCTCCCTCCCACGGTGCCCCCCCCGCCCTCCCTCCCACGGTGCCCCCCACCGCGCCCTCCCTCCCACGGTGCCCCCCACCGCGCCCTCCCTCCCACGGTGCCCCCCCACCGCGCCCTCCCTCCCACGGTGCCCCCCCACCGCACCCTCCCTCCCACGGTGCCCCCACACCGCGCCCTCCCTCCCACGGTGCCCCCCCCACCGCGCCCTCCCTCCCACGGTGCCCCCCCACCGCGCCCCCCCTCCCACGGTGCCCCCCCACCGCGCCCCCCCTCCCACGGTGCCCCCCCACCGCGCCCTCCCTCCCACGGTGCCCCCCCCCGCCCTCCCTCCCACGGTGCCCCCCCCACCGCGCCCTCCCTCCCACGGTGCCCCCCCCACCGCGCCCTCCCTCCCACGGTGCCCCCCCACCGCGCCCCCCCTCCCACGGTGCCCCCCCACCGCGCCCTCCCTCCCACGGTGCCCCCCCACCGCGCCCCCCCTCCCACGGTGCCCCCCCACCGCGCCCTCCCTCCCACGGTGCCCCCCCACCGCGCCCTCCCTCCCACGGTGCCCCCCCACCGCGCCCTCCCTCCCACGGTGCCCCCCCCCCGCCCGGGGCCAATCCGGTGCGTCCTCCACCGGGGAGGGTGCGGTGCGCCGCCACACGCCGCCAGCCGGGCAGACGGCGGCGGAGGCCGACGCGCCGCAGCCCCCGCCGGTGGCACGGCCCGCTCGCCGGGGTCTCGCGGCCCTGGGGCACGCAGGTCCCGCCCGCCGCCGGCACCGCCCCGGAAGTGACGACACCTCACGTGCTCTGCGGGAAGCGCACGCGACCCGGGAGGCGGGGCGCCCTTGCCTCTGCGCGCTTGCGTCATCGCGTAAGCGGGAGGGGTCCGGGGGGGCCGGGAGGTGACGCGCGCCGCTGGCCAGGCGGCGGCGGCGGCGGGCGGGCCCGGACAGCGGGAGGGCCCGCCTCTTAAAGCTGAGGAGCTTGCTTCTGGGCCGAGCGACGCGGTCCCGGCACGCGGCTCCTTTAAGCGTCGCCGTGACACGTGTGTGAGGCGCCGGAGACCCGGATGGTGAGCGTGCGGGCCGGACCCGAGCGGACGCCGACACCTTGCGGTGCTGCGGCGGGCGGCTGAGGGCGCCGGGTGAGCTGAGGCGGGCGGGGCGGCCCGCGGGGGCGCGGGGGGCGGCGCGGTCCGCGGGCCCCGGGGCGGGAGCGCCCGGAACCGCTCCAAACGCCCGGGGTCCCCAAGAAGGGGCCTGGGGACGCGTCGTCCGCGCGGGGGTGACCCCGCTGTCAGAGCGGGCGTCGCGGGCCCCCGAGAAGGGGCGCAGGCGGGGAGCCGGGGCCGGGGGCGCGGGGACGGCCCTGGAGCCTCCGCCCCGTGGCAGGCCTCGGCCCCGCCGGGCCCCGGGCGTCCGCTCTGCGGGGTCCCGGCCTTCCCCGCGGCGGGCCGGGGGCGCGGGGCCTTCCTCGTGGTCACGGTCCGAGGCGGCCCGGCCCGAGCTCGGGCCGGGGACCACGAGGGTTTTAAAATGCCCACCGCGGCCGCCGGGCTGTGTGGCGAGCCCCCTGGGGAGCTGCGTGCACCCTCAAACTAGAGACCGCCGGGGCGGGGGGCGGATAACCCCGCGCCCACACAGTGGAGCCCGGCGTGCTCAGCCGCGTCCCGGGGCCTCCGGCCTCTCCTGTCATGGACTCCCGGTCGCCAGCACGTGCTGGGCTGTCGGCGTGCGGGACGAGACCGAAGGGGTGCCGAGGGTGTTGGGTTGAAAGGTAGCTGTGCTTGAGTACTTTGAGGGCTAGAGATGCCTGTTGTTAGAGCTTTAAGTTGTCCCCGAACAGATGCCAGATTTCCTAAGAATTCCCACCTGCAGACACCATCCTGCGCCCCCCCCTCCCCAACCAGGTGTTTGCGTTAATCGTGCACAGCAGAGAGCTTGCTGGGCAAGAACATTTTCTTTTTTTTAGTCCTCACACATCACAGAGATGAGTTTTAGGTTAGCGCTTAAGATTTCAGGTGCAGTTGTTAAAAGGGAGGCTGGTCTTTTCTGCCACCACTTAAAAAAAAAATTACCTTTTGTTCACACTTGGCTCCCTTTAACCTGATTGATGACTTTCCTAGTGGAAGGTCACCTTCTTCCCACACGAAATCCATGGGAAGACAAGTGAAGAGTTGGCTTTGGTGATGTCTTCCTGCTCATCCCATAGGTGTTGACAACCATTCTGGATACTACACTTGGCAGTGTTGGTGACTGACAAGGCCAAGGTCCAGCAGACAGATCACCTGCCCCACCAGAACTTACCCTTCGGAACCTGACTCCCTGCTGGCTAGGGAAGTAGCAGCCAGGGTCACTCATCCAGGTGAGTGGCCCAGGTCTCTTCCTACCTGAGACAGCAGTGATTATTGTTGGTGAGATTGTCTTAGTTAAGATGTAAGCAGAGGCTGGGCAATAGATTTCCTCACCCTAGAGAACTGGTACTAGAGTTTCTTGCACACCTATTCTTTATAGATGTACTTACATATAAGTGATCTATATATGAAATTAGATGATCTGTAATGACCTATTTGAGTGACTTAGAGCTGACAGGAGTGTTCTTTCTTTCACTAGAGTGGAGGTTAGTGGGTTTTTTTGATTTTAATTACTAAGTGATTGTACAAAGAGGTTACAGCCCCCTAAGTCAGGTAATGAGTACAGTGTGTCTTGATCAGTGTCACCTGGAGTGGAGTTTTGATGAGCTGATTCTCCAGGGAAGTCTGGGTATTACATCCAGGTTTTCTGAGTCATCACATCTGATATGAATGGGCACTTTGGGGACATATTTTCTAGTTGTGACCCAAATAATGAAAGCTTTGACTTTTGATGCTTGAGAGGGTGGGCAGACTAGTGATGTATGTAGGGGTGGCAGTCAGGTGATGGTAGTATCCTGTCTTCCAGTATCTGCCCCTCCTCTGTTAGGGACGCCATGTAACCAGCCATCTCACTATCCCTGCAGCTACTTTCCCACTATCTTTGTTCCTATTTTACGATCCACCTTATCTCCAGATCTGTGGCTAAAGGTGGTAGAAACCCCCAAGTCTGCCACTTTCCAAGGCCTGGTCCCCACCTGCCCCCTAGCTTTTCTTGAGAAGTGTTGGCAAGACCTGCCTTGTACTCGACTCTTCTCCAGGCCTATTTCTTTTCTCTTTTTCTTCTCACTCTTAGAGATAATAGGCATATACATTTTCCATAGAAATAAAATGAGCCAGGTGGGTGCCGGTGGCTCATGCCTGTAATCCTAGCTACTCAGGAGCCTGTGGTTCAAAGGATCGTGGTTCAAAGCCAGCCCAGGCAGGAAAGTCTGAGACTCTTTATCTCCAATTAACCACCAGAAAACCCAGAAGTGGCACTGTGGCTCAAGTGGCAAATCACTAGCATTGAGCTGAAGAGCTCAGGGAAAGTGCCTAGGCCTAGAGTTCAAGCCCCCATGACCAACAAAAAAAAAGAAAAGAAAAATATAATGAGCCAATATAATTTAAAAATGAATGGCAGCTTCATTAGAAAAATAAATGGAGGGGCTGGGAAGGTGACAAAGTGGTAGAGTGCTTGCCTTGCATGCATGAGGCCCTGGGTTCAATTCCTCAGCACCACATAAGCAAAAAGAAAAAAGCTGCAAGTGGCGCTGTGGCTCAAGTGGTAGAGCTCTAGCCTTGAGCTGAAGAGCTGAGGGACAGCGCCCAGGCCCAGAGTTCAGGCCTCACGACTGGACCCAAAAAAAGAAAAGAAAATGGAAAAATTCATTTTTATAATTTATTTAACCCAAATATATATGTGAAATACTATGATTTATGCATGTAACCAATCCCCAAATATTAAGATGTTTCCTCTTTTTTTTTTTTCAGTACTGACATTTGGCCTTGCTAGGCAGTTTCTCTACACTTGACAGATAGGCTCTTGTGTTTTTGCCTGGTGCTAGCCTTGAACCACAGTCATCCTACCTGTGGCAGTCCTCATACCTATAGAATATGACACTGTGCCTGGATTATTTGTTTGAATGGGGGAAGGGTCCTCACTTTTTGCTTGGCTAGCCTCCTAGTAAGGGCCTCAAATAGCTGGGATTATTATAGGCTTGTATCACCATACCCAGGTCTTCATTGCATGGCTGTGTGTGTGTGAGTAACCTGAGTGAATTAATTGTTCTCTGTAAGCAGACATTGAGACCACATACTGTCCTTCTGGAGGAGGTAGCACCAGGTGCCATGTTCATACTATGGGAAGGCCAGATCTGTTCTATGCCCTTTTACTGTTGGTTGCGTGTCTGTGGTCTTTTGGAGAGGGAAATGTGAACTACACAGGACCTGAGTGCCTCCCTCTCTGCATGTCCCTGTAAGGGTCATTGTACTAGTGGCCACCATCCACAGTGGCCAAGCTTGTTCCCAGAACTTAGTGCTGTCCTGTTCTTCCCACAGGGATGCACCATGCCAATCGTCGATAAGCTGAAGGAGGCCCTGAAGCCTGGCCGCAAGGACTCAGCTGAGGATGGAGACCTGGGCAAGCTGCTGGCCACCTCTGCCAAGAAAGTCCTTTTACAGAGGATTGAGTTTGAGCCGGCCAGCAAGAGCTTCTCCTACCAGCTGGAGTCCTTGAAGAGCAAATATGTGCTGCTGAACCCCAGGGCAGAAGGGGCTGGTCGGCACAAGAGTGGAGATGAGCTACAGGCCAGGAAACAGGGTACCAGCAGGGAAAGTGCTTGAAGAAGGGCCTTGCTGTGTGTTGAGTGGGTGGGCAGACCAGGATCAATGGCAGCAGTGACTGAATGACAGGGCCTTGATGCTTTCCATGGGGTCTTTGGGCCTTGTAGATGTCATGATGTGGGGTGGTGGCAGCAGCGGCTGTGTGCTGGCCATTGCTTGGAAGCTGCCGTACCTCAAGTCCTCAGGTTTAACAGGATCACAAGAGAGGCTTGGAAATAGATATGGGCTGGCTGTATGTGGGGTATAATATGGAGCAGTGCTAGGACCCACTTCTTCCTCTCATCCAGGAGGTACGGGGGTTAGGACTCTAGAATTCAAGACCTAAGCAGTCTGGAATGAGTGACAAGACACAATTTATTCTTGGCCTTTCTAGCAACCTCCAGTCCATGGGCACGCCAGTTACTGCCCAATGCTGCCTTCTGAGTAGATACCCAGCAAGGAGTGTCTGTGTGTGTTCAGACTTACTCTTTCTCTTTCTGCACTCTTCTCTTCCTCAGGCAGCGAGCGTGCATCTGGAGGGGATGGAGTCCCGGCCCCCCAGAAAGTGCTCTTCCCCACAGAGCAGCTGTCCCTCCGGTGGGAACGCATCTTCCGTGTTGGTGCAGGGCTGCACAACCTGGGCAACACCTGCTTCCTCAACTCCACCATTCAGTGTTTGACCTACACACCGCCTCTGGCCAACTACCTGCTCTCCAAAGAGCATGCACGGAGCTGTGAGTGAGGCTTGCGGCTGGGCAGGTGGGAGATGCATGAGTGGGGCTTGCAGCTGAAGAAGGGAGCAGGTGTGAGCTGTGAGTGGGGCTTGCAGCTGAGGGGCGGGAGACACCATGAGTTGGAACAACTGAACCGGACAGTCTCCTAATAGATACACACTGTGCTGGGCATTTCCATTTTACCTGGATCATGTTTATTTGGTGCAGATGCAGATTGGCGCTGCATGGGACCACTCAGGGTCATGTGCACCACACTTTTCTAAAATAATTGCCCAGACAGAAGGAAGTGTTTTCTAAAGATATCTCCACAAAATCTTCTAGCTCTTTTATCAATTAGGCCAGTGTTGGACATACATTATAAAACATGGTCCAAAGTAGAAATGATAAAATATGAAGTCAGAAACTGAAGAAAAGTGAGCGCTTGTTGCTCATGCCTGTAATTCTTGCTGTTCAAGAGGATCCCATTTCAAAGCCAGCCAAACCCAAGAGACTCATCACCAATTAATCAGCAAAAAGCTAGTGATGGAAATGTGACTCAGGTGGTAGAGTACTAGCCTTGATCAAAGAAGCTAAGGAACCAGCCCTCCAGGCCCTGAGTTCAAGCCCAAAACTGGCACAAATAAAACCAAAGCTACCAAAAGTAGTAATAGAAGCACAATACTACCAAAAGTAGTAATAGAAGCACATTTCCTTCACCCAATAAGGACATCTGCTGAAACCACAGCAAGCATCAAGGCAGCATCCCGGCGGGACGGTGTTGGAAGCCAAGGCTTTGGGGCACTGAAGCCTGGTGGCTGCCTGCCAGCTCACTCAAGAATGTGGGGTTGCAGAGGGACAGGGAATAAAACTACCATGCTAGCAAGTGCTGGTGGCTCATGTTTGTAATCATGAGGCTGAGATCTGAGGATAGAGGTTTGAAGCTAGTCCAGGCAGCAAAGTATGTTAGACTCTTAACTCCAATTAACCACCAAAGAGCTAGAAGTGGAGCTTTAGCTCAAAGTCATAGAATGTTAGCCCTGAGCAGAAAAGCTCAGGGGCAGTACCCAGGTCCTACATCCAAGTCTTGTCTGACAACAAAACAAAACATGGTGCTTTGCTTTAAGAACAATATTCCTGCATAGGAAACCAAAAGAATATGGAGACAAGTTGGAAAATTAGCAGATGGAATGGCAAGATCCAATGTTTGAACATGCAGTTGTAAAAGGCGCTTGCTCTCTTTAGAGAAGCAACACGAACACTCAAGTATCTAGACGCAGATTTCACAGGGTGATGTGCAGCGAACTGAAGGAGTAAAGTTACTACATCATTGGTAAGAAGGTTGGGGCTGGGTGTGTTGAGGCCCAGCTGCTCACAGAGGGAAGATGAGAGTGTTGTTTCTCCCCAAACTCATTTGCAGATTGGAGCAGGTTCATGTGATTCCAAACTTCATATCGAAAATCAAAGGACCAAACCCAAAACACACTTTGCAAAGAAGAGGGCTGAGCAGAGATGTGCTCCACCAGCTGGAGACTTCCTGTATAGTTATGAAGTCAGAATGCCACCACGTTAGCTCAAGGACAGATGTGCTGACATGAGTGCAGAGCCATGTGCATGTGGAAGTGCACTGCAGCTCCAGGTTTTTTCACATAGATAGCAATTGTTTTAGTAAAGAACCAGAACAAAAAATTGATTTTTACATGTGGAAGGACCTAACTTTAGAAAAGATGAAAAACTTGTCTTCAAAAATAAACTTAAGGGCTGGGAGGTGGCTCGGTGGTAGAGTGCTTGCCTTGGCATGCATGAGGCCCTGGGTTCAATTCCTCAGCACCACATAAGCAAAAAAGCCGGAAGTGGCGCTGTGGCTCAAGTGGTAGGGCGCTAGCCTTGAGCTGAAGAGCTGAGGGACAGTGCCCAGGCCCAGAGTTCAGTCCCCAAGACCAGCAAAAAAATAAATAAACTTAATTCCAAGTATTTTTCTGACCTTGGGCAAGCAAATATTAACCTTAGAAGAAGAAAAGTTGGTCAGTTCAGCTGCATTAAAAGTTTCAGCCATCAAAAGTGATCAGAGGGGCTGGGAAGGTGGCTCAGTGGTAGAGCGCTTGCCTTGCATGCATGAGGCCCTGGGTTCGATTCCTCAGCACCGCATAAGCAAAAAGAAAAAAGCTGGAAGTGGCGCTGTGGCTCAAGTGGTAGAGCTCTAGCCTTGAGCTGAAGAGCTGAGGGACAGTGCCCAGGCCCAGAATTCAGACTCCATGACCGGACCCAAAAAAAAAAAAAGATCAGAAACACTGAAAAGGCTTAATTGCAGGCTGGTAGACAAGACCTGGGGCACAAAGACCAAGCACTGGTATTGAGAAATGTACCTGTTAAAAAACTAGCTAAAATTCTGAGCAAGAGCTGCACAAAAGAAACCCAAGCTGCCAGATGCACAGGGTGACATGATGTGCTCTGGCTTTGCAGCTGCCAGAGAAAAATCAGAAAAACCGTGCTGGCAACTGTTATATACCTGTGAGTTGTAACAGATTTGAAAGGTAAAACACTCCGGGGGGGGGGGGGGGGGGCGGAGGGGGGGGAGGTCAGATTTTTTTCTGTGCCACTAGCTTGAAGCTTTAACCTTCATGAACTCCAGTACCTAGCTGTTGCATAGGCAAGATCTGGCAGTATATAAAATTGTCTTCTCAGCAGGCGCCAGTAAGCAACTCTAGAGGCTGTTCATAGACCGGACGTGATTAAGTCCAGTCCCAGAACAGCAGTAGTCAGCATTGCAGACCTGAGTTCAGCTGTGAGGACATCTCAGTAGCCCATCTGATGAAGAAGCAAATCCAGGAAATAACATGAATTCTTTGTTTTTGTGGTGCTGGGTAGAACTTAGGGTTTTGTGCATGCTAGGAAAGCTCTGTAACTCCGCTCCTGTTTTTTTGCCTTGCTTTTGTTTTTGTTTTGGAGACAGTTGCACAGTCTAGCCCCAAACTTGTCTGTCTCCCTAGCAGATAGGATTATAGGTGTACACTGCCACACTCAGCTCTTCCATTTCTTCCAGTGTCCCTCTGGCTCTGAGCAGCCAGCACATGGGTGGAGATACACTTCCCTCCCTGTGTTGCTCCAGCACCTGAACTAGGCTGCGTCACAGCCCTGTCACCAACACACTGCCCTGGCCAGCTGTCAGCTGAAAATAACCCTGCAGGAGCCAGAGTTAAATACATCGCTTCCTAAACTTCAGTAGCAATGGACAAAGATCTTGGCTTCAGTTTCCTTTTTGTAAATTACATGAAAAGTGTGCTGATCTTGTGGCCATGAATGTTGGGAGTCAGGGAGCCCTGTCCTGGGGTTTCTGCCCTATTTGGGAGCAGTTGTGTCGGATGGGGTCAGCGGCACTTTGTAGACGCATCACAGCCACATCTTCAGTGGAACTGAAAGGAAAAAAAGCTTTTTTGTTGTTGTTGCTGGGTGCCAGTTGCTCATGCATGTAATCTTAGCTACTCAGGAGGCTGAGATCTGAGGAAGGAAAGTCCGTGAGACTCTTATCTCCAATAAACCATCAGAAAACCAGAAGTAGCTCTGTGGCTCAAGTGGTAGAGCACTAACCTTGGGCTGAAGAGCTGAGGGACAGTGTCCAGGCTGAGAGTTCAACCCCACAACTGACCAAAAAAAAAAAAGTGGGTTTTTTTTGTTGTTGTTTGTTTTAAATATCAAATCATAATTTTTTAGTCCTACAACCTTTATTGTCACCTAAAAATTAACACATACAGTTAGAAAAGTGGGACAAAGGACTGGGAAGGTGGCTCAGTGGTAGAGTGCTTGCCTCACATGCATGAGGCCCTGGGTTCAATTCCTCAGCACTGCATAAGCAGAAAAAGCCAGAAATGATGCTGTGGCTCAAGTGGTAGAACGCTAGCCTTGAGCTGAAGAGCTGAGGGACAGCGCCCGGGCCCAGAGTTCAGGCCCCATGACCAACAACAACAAAAAAAGTGGGACAAAGTCTATAATGAAAAGTGAGAGCATCCCTTGTATGTAAATGTGATTACGTGAATAGATCTGTGTGTCCCTTGAAGACCATGCCATGCCGTATGCGGTGTCAGGGCTGGGCTGCAGTGGCTGGCACAGGTGAGAACAGACCGGTATGTTCATGCATGAAGTCCTTTGCCTGTAGGGCTTAGGATCCCAGCTTGTCAGGACAACCTGGATTTTTTATTATTTATTTATTTATTGATTGATTGATTGATGTTAGTCCTGGGGCTTGAACTCAGCGTCTGTCCCTGAGCTTTTGTGAGCTACAGCTCTGTTTTTTGGCCTTTTGGCAGTTAATTGGAAATCAGGGGCTCATGGACTTTTCCTTCCCAGGCTGGCTTTGAACCACGATCCTCAGATCTCAGGTACAGGTGTGAGCCACTGATGTCCAGCCCATGCTGGATTTTTTAAGAATGCGAGTTGCCAAAGTACCCAGTACTTGACCTCATAGTTCAGTTAATATGAAAGCTTACAGACATAACCACAAGCCAGTTTCTGGCTGTGGATCCCCACAGTATAGAAATACAATGCATGTGTATTGGGGAACAGTAATGTCCTGTTTAGGGCAAAAGCTGCCTTGGTTTGAAGGAATTGGAGAATAGATTGTAGGGGTACAGCTATCTCCAGACACCTGAAAGGGTAGAGCAAGGCTGTGTCGTAGTCTTTGTACATCTCTTTCCATTTGTACTATGTCACAGTTTTAAAGGTCAGTGTACATCCAGGCTGCTCTAAGGCTATGAAGGGGCTACTGGCCACAGTGGCCATGGCCTGTGTTTGTGGATCAAGCTGGCCGAACACATCCATGTCCGTCTCACATTGTACTTCTCGTGCACCTGTGGCAGAGGTACATGGTGGTGGCAGACTTGTACAAAGCTAAAATGTTTGCTGTCTAGGTCTTCAGGGGGTTTCTGACCCCTGATAAGTTGCAGGGAGGTTATTTACTGGGTGTAGCTGAGCAGAATATGTTTGAGAACAAACTAAGGAATGTCAGGAAGCCCTGAAATCTTGCAGCCATTGATTATGTGCTAGAACTTTGGAATAGATATTTTTTCTGGACTTCATGTTGAACGCCAGACTCAGTCTTCATGTAAGTAAATAACGTAGCATGCATGGTGTCTGGAGCAGCCTGCTGCATGTGTCTAGGCCTGTGGTGTAAGACCATTAGAACTACAGCCTCATCCGCTGTGAGCAGGGCATCCCCCGCTCACACTCTGTGGTGGGGTGGGGAGGTGTGTCTGTGGGCCAGCTCTCCTATCACAGGCTGACCGGCCCTCATTTGCTCCGTTCCTCTTTCTTCTTTTGGGGTGGAAGTGGCCTGTTCTCCGAAGCTGTCGTATTCACATAGCTGCTTCTCCCATGCTGCAGGTCACCAGGGAAGCTTCTGTATGCTATGTGTCATGCAGAACCACATCGTCCAGGCCTTTGCCAACAGTGGCAATGCCATCAAGCCCATCTCCTTCATCCGAGACCTGAAAAGTAAGAATGGATTTCTCTCTCTGGGATCAGTACAGCTCAGCTGGGAGTCTTAGCAGTGCTTATGTGTGCTTAGTGATACAGGCTCAAGTGTCCCACCAGTGGAGGTTGTCTGGTGGAGTGGTGGGGGATGGGGGGCACCCTGCTTTGGAGAACAGGTATGTTTTGGCCAGGTGTTGTGGTGCCATTTTGTGTTCAAGATAGGATAGCTGAAAGGGTCTGCTGTGTTCCAAGAAAGCTCAGGAGCTTCAGAGGAGCTATTGCTATGTCCCTGTCACTTGGCAGGAAGTTAATGCCTATGTAGCACTAGGAAATGGCTATGGGCTAGCTCTGGGAAAACAAATCAGTGGGTGTTGCATTCTTTGTTTTTGTTTTTTGAGACGAGGTCTCGCTATGTTGACTCAAGTTCCTGGGCTCTCAGGATCCTCTTGTCCCTTGACCCTGCTTCTTGAGTAGCTATGATTCTAGGTGTGGATCACTTACCTGAAGGCTAAGCCCTTAGGCCTTAGAGACTGGCTATGATGGATGGTCCAAGTTGTAGATAATTATACCACTCTCGGTTTCCTCAACTGACACTTTTCCCTTGTCCCCCTGTGACTACAAGTAGGTGGTGGTCATCTTTCCTAACCCTCTCTCCTTCCTTCAGAGATTGCCCGGCATTTTCGCTTTGGGAACCAAGAGGATGCACATGAGTTTCTGCGCTACACCATCGATGCCATGCAGAAGGCCTGCTTGAATGGCTATGCCAAGTATGTGTCATGCCTCCCCACCCCTCCCCTGGGGCTGCAGGTACTGCTGGTGGAGGCAGGTACCCTGAGCCCTCCTCTTGACCCTCCTTGGAGGGTTCCCAGAAGAGGAGTGGCCCCCAAAAAGGTGTCACCTAGCCGAGGCAGCTTGGTAGGATCTGGTACAGGAGGCAGATGTGATGGGGCTCTGTCCTGGCAGTCAGATACGAGAAGGGTTTTACCAGATGTCTTTGCAAAGGTTAGCTGCTGCCTTAGACTCCCTTGTTTTTCAGAAATCACTGTTGCTTTGTTTTGGTTTGATTTGATGTTTTAAGACAGGGTCTTGCTGTGTAGCTCAGGTTGGCCTTGAATTCTCAATCCCCTTTCCTCAGCCACCCAAGTCCTGGGATTGCAGGCATGTACCACTGTGCCTGGTTTGACTGGGGCTTGAACTCAGGGCCTGGGCACTGTCTCTGAGCTTTTTTGCTCAAGGCTAGAGCTCTACCACTTTAAGCCACAGCACCACTTGCGGTTTTCTGGTAGTTAATTGGAGATAAGAGTCTTACAGACTTGCCTGCCTGAGCTGACTTTGAACCTCAATTCTCAGATCTCAGCCTCCTGAGTAGCTAGGATTACAGGATCACAGACTGCTTATTTTGATACAGAAGATGGGGTTGTAGGAGTTGGATGTAATTGAACCATTTTGGAGATGCTAGTCTGGAGCTGTTTCTCCAAATGTGGCAGTGTGGAAGTTCTCCTGGAATTGTTGGTTACTTCATGCCATGTATCCTCACTTGTATACAGTGGCCATCCGGGGTTCCTGGCTCAGATGAGACCAGCTGTCATCAAAGCTTGGGAGAGAACCAAATCCTCTATCACCAATACTTCGGAAAACATGTAGCTGTTCTAAAGAACAGTTCAGAATGGCTAGCTGAATTTTCTCAGTGAGCATCTGAAATAAGCAAAGCACTGGAACTTAAGTCACAAAAAGAAAATGCTTTGCCAGTTCTTGGCTACTGGCTCCGGATGCCCAAGGTTTGGATATGTGCGCCCTCCCTCCATAGGGCTGTCTGTCGGCCTCGGGTGGACTGAGGGGACATTTTTCTTTTCCTGATTGGCTGATTTTCCCCAGATACCTCATTGTCACCTGACCAGTGGCATTTAGAGGTTGAGCCTAGCACCCACTACTTGGAGATGGAGCCAGGGAGAGAACAGTTTTTCAGCCTCAGGGCCTACCTTCAACAAGGGTCACATCATGCCACCTGCTGTATCTTCTGGATTGTGCCATTGTGAATACCAGTGGTTTAGAGCTGCAGCGCCACAGAAAGCCAGCCTTGGATAGGTGTCACATTGCCCCTGTGAGACAACCCTAAGGTGCCTGTTGCCAGGAAGCAGAGCTTCCTGTGGGACATCAAATCTCAGGTTGGGTTTTCTGTTTGTTTTGGTTTTGTGGACTTTTTTTTTGCTCACAGCTACTTCTCTACCACTTAAGCTACATCTCTAATCTACATTTTGCTGGCTAATTGGTGTAAGAGTCTCTTGGATTTGTCTGCCAGGCTGATATCAAATACAGATAGAGCCTCAGATCTCAGCATCCTGAGTAGCTAGGAGACACTGGTGTCTGGTTTCTTCTAGTTGATGCATTTTACTTTTTTTTTTTTTTTTTTTTGGGTCCAGTCGTGGGGCCTGAACTCTGGGCCTGGGCGCTGTCCCTCAGCTCTTCAGCTCAAGGCTAGTGCTCTACCACATGAGCCACAGCACCACTTCCGGCTTTTTTCTTTTTGCTTATGTGGTGCTAAGGAATTGAACCCAGGGCCTTGTGCATGCAAGCAAGTGCTCTACCACTGAGCCACCTTCCCAGCCCCACATTTTACTTTTTTGGGAGTTCTAGTAATAGCTTTTTTCTCTGAGTTTCTTTCTCTCAGACAGCTGTCATTACTAAAATTTTATTTCCTGGTAGTTTCCTACTTTAAGTGCCCCATGTTGAGTTTGCCTGGGATCTGTTCTGTCTTGAGCTTTATGCAGTTTCTCCCCACCCCCACTTTTCTCTTTCTCTTTGTTGTTGGTTATGTGGCTTGAACTCGGCCTGGGCACTGTCCCTGAGCCTCTTTGTGCTCAGGGCTAGCATTCTACCACTTGAGTCACAACACCACTGTGGTTAAGTGGAGATGGGAGTCTCATGGGGACTTTTCTGCCCAGACTGGCTTTGAACCACAATCCTCAGATCTTAGCCTCCTGAGTGGCTAGGATTACAGGCATCAGCTACCAACACCTGGCTTGCAGTCTCCATCTCTGAAGGGACTGAGGTGTTCAGTTTCTTTCCAGAGTTCACTTAACTCTTCCTTTTAGTATATTCCTTCTATTATTTTATTGTATTTTATCTTACAGGGGTTTGAGCTCAAGGCTTACTGGGAAGGTTTTGTACCTCTTGAGCAGCCCTCAAATACCCCCAGTTTTCAGATATGGTCTCTAGCCTTTGCCTGGGGCTATGCTTGCACCTTGATCTTTTTATAAGTAAGCTATACCTCCAGTATAGCTGGCATTATAGGTATGAATTACTGGTCAAGATGGAGATCTTGGTAACTTTTTTTTTGGTCGGTCGTGGGGCCTGAACTCGGCCTGGGCACTGTCCCTCAGCTCTTCTTCTCTAGGCTAGCACTCTACCACTTGAGCCACAGCTCCACTTCCAGCTTTTTTCTGCTTATGTGGTGCCGAGGAATTGAACCCAGGGCCTCATGCATGCCGAGCAAGCACTCTACCACGGAGCCACCTTCCCATCCCCTTGCTAATTTTTGCTCCCTTCTAACTTGTTTCCCAAGTCACTGGAATTGCAACCATGAGCCCACCCCTCCTGGTCCCAGACTGGTTTTCTTTTTCTGTTTTTGTGAGTGTGGTTTTCTTGTGTGCAAATGTTGGAGGAAGTCTAACCCAGTGTGGACTTTGTGTCACTGTTTTTTTCTGCCCTGGCTTCTTGACTGGGTATTATGCATCAGTGGTGTGCTTGGTTTCTAGATAAGAAACAAGGTGGCAATACATGCCATTTTCTATGTCACCTTTCTGTGATTTGAGCTGCCTTTGACTGGTGGGTCTGGTAAGTTTCAGGATCCTCAGCCTAGGGCCATCCTCAGCACTATGAGGTGAACCTTCTCAAATAAATGTTTTTTCTAGGTGACAGAAGGGGCAACAGCTCTGATAGTTTATTTGGCTTTTTTAGAACCTTAATGTTCTCCTTTGCCCTTCCCTACCTAGTTGCAAGGATGCTTGTTTACCTGTTCTTTTTATCCTCTTACTCCCATAGCCAGGACCTTTGGGAACTGCCCCCAGCCTGTGTATGCCAGGCCCTGGGCCTGCCCCAGCTGGCAGTTCCCTTCCCACAGGCCAGTGGGCATTTGTGGTGGTACTGTTGACACCTAGCTTCTTGTAAGGGTGGGGCAAGGGATTGAGTACTTACTAGCCACTGGGGCTGCTCTGCTTCTCGCTCCTGCTTCCCACTGAGATGATGGCCTGGCTACTTTAGAGAGTTAGATATCCCTTCCCTGGGTGAACTGTGATGACTATAGATGGTGACTGTTCGTTTTTCATTTCCCAACTTTGCAAAAATAAGCCTTTGGTCCCAGGTTGTCTCCTGAGCTTCCTGGGAAGTGTTGCGTTGACTACAGGCCTGGTGCATGTCTTTTGGGGTGGAGTTTCAGTGGCAAGGCTTGGCATTGGACCATACCCTGGGAGCTGTGCCACACAATGCCTGGCCAGATGTGCCACTTGTGAGGGGTCAGGAAGCAGCTGGCAGCGTGGAATGCACCCTTAAGTGCCAAGGAGGATGGTTGTGGAGGGATGAGTGCAGCACACCAGAGGGCTAGGGTTGTCCAGAGCATGCAGGATGCATGCCACATGTGGGGCATGGGCACTCAACCCTGGGGGCACAGGAGTAGGTTGGCCTTAGTTGTTGTCCCAGATTAGTAATAAGTGGAGTGAGGTAGGGTGGAGATGGTTCAAAGTTGGTTTCAGGGCCCTGTCCCACCCGATCTCAGGCTTGGCTGCTCCTCGGTGGAATAACCCACCGAAGAGCAGATGTGAGCCTACAGGCTGAGGGTCCCATGCACCCCACCCTGGTCCAGACCCTTCTATGGAAGCCAGCACTGTTCGGTACCTGTCTTCTGGAATTCATGGCCAAGTTGCCTCCTAAGTAAGACTGTTGTGTAGGTTTGAACAGTGGGCCGTAGGGCAGGAGCTTAGCAGTAGGGGACTCTTGAGAGGTTCTGGGCACTGTTGGGCCTGCCCATGAGATTCAGGTAGGAGGATGGGAGTTGGGGCCAGTGAGTGGAGAATGGAAGCTCAGGACAAGTCCTGTTTTGTGTGCCCTGCTTTCAGGTTGGATCGGCAAACTCAGGCTACCACTCTGGTGCATCAGATCTTTGGAGGCTATCTCAGGTCCCGAGGTAAGTGGGGACATTTTGTTCATCCTGTCCTGGAGGTCAGGACCTTCATAAAGACCCTAAATATGCTCCTGGCATGGCCTGGTGATCAGGTCTTGGTTTCCCACCTGCCAGTCTTGCCCGGTTGTAGCAAAGCCCTGTGAGGAACCTTGAAGCACAGTTATGTGTATGGGAGTCTTCCTCACAAGCTCTCCCAGTCCCTCTTTCATCCCCCTCTGCAGGCCTGATAGGCAGCCAGTGGCAAGCAAGGCCTGTGGGTGGGGCCAGCACCTCCTTGTTAGCTTTTCCACCCTGAGTCAGCCTGGAGAGAGAGTCTCTTCTGTCAGGAGCTGGGTTGAGTTCTAGACCTCCAGTGGTGGGTGTTGGGATCTGGGTGTCCTCTCGTGGACCCCACCCACACACTGCCTCTTCTTCTATTGCAGTGAAATGCTCCATGTGCAAGAGCGTCTCCGACACCTACGACCCCTACCTGGACATAGCGCTGGAGATCCGGGTACACACAGGGGTCTGCCCTTGTGGACATCTGGAGAGAGGCCAGGAACTGTCATCAAAATGGGTGCAGATAGGAAGTGCTTGGGATTCTACTTTTTTTAGATGGTTGCAGTAGAAACCTCATTTTATATCTTCCTAGGTCAAACTCTGAGTTTGTGTCCTGAGGCAGAATAGTCCCAACACTGTCAGGCAGAGCTGGAAAAACATCTAATGTACTAGAGTGCCACCCTGCAACTCTGTGGCCTTCACAGCATGGTGGCCCCTTTCCTGGCTGGCTTTTTGAGAGCTCGTCTTGACCTTGCTGGAACCCCTGAGCTGAGCAAATCCAACTACGGTCTGCATATGACAGACCTCACAAGGCTTCTGTGCCACCCACTCGCAATGGGGCACAGTCTGGCTCCCTGCTCGTTGGCAGTACCTATTCAGAGTTGGGGGAGGTGGCAGCTAGTGAGCCAGTTTTTATGCAAGTCAAGGTTTGTGACTTGCTGTCTCAGCCTGAAAAAGACCTTAAATTTGGCATTCATCAAGTCAGCCTTTTTCTTTTGCGGTTTATCCTGTTCGGTTTTTATCCTTCTCAGCAAGCTGCAAATATTGTGCGTGCTCTGGAACTTTTTGTGAAACCAGATGTCCTGAGTGGAGAAAACGCCTATATGTGTGCTAAGTAAGTTTTACTTCGTTAATGACAAAAAAAGGAGTGTCCATAATGCTGTGTGCCTGGTGCTGGTGGTTCATGCCTGTATTCCTAGTACTTGGGATGCTGAGATAGGAATACTTGCAACTTAAGGCCAGCCCAGGCAGAAAAGTCCACAAGAACCCTTGTCAATCAGTAGCTTGCTGTGTGGTACCCACTGTCATCTCATCTACTGTGGGAGGCCTGAAATAGGATCACCATCCAAGCCAGCCAAGCAGAAAGCGAGACCCCAGGTCAAAGATAACAAGCACAGTGCATCAGTGGCTCATTCCTGAAATCCTAGCTACTCAGGAGGCTGAGATCTGAGCATCATGGTTCCCAAAGCCAGCTTGGGCAGGAAAGTCCAAGAGACTTTATCTGTAGAAAACTAGAAGTGGCACTGTGGCTCAAAGTGGTAGAGTGCTAGCCTTGACCGAAAACGCTCAGGGACAGTGCCCAGACCCTGAGTTCAAGCCCCTCAACCAACAAACACGGAAAGAGCTGGGGGATTTGGCTCAGGTAGTAGAGAACTTGCCTTACAAGGTACAGTGATCTGGGTCCACACCTCCCTCAGTATTGGGGGAGGAAAGCCAGGTTCCGGTGGCTCACAGCTTTAGTTGTGGTACTTGGTACTCAGGAGGCTGAGATCTGAGGATTTCTGTTCAAAGCCAGCCCATGCAGAAAAACCCAAAAGACTTGTCTTCAGTTAACCAGCAAAAAGCCAGAGTAGAGGTGTAGCTTAGGTGGTAGAGCACCAGCTGCTAACCAAAAAGCCAAATGAGAGGATGAGGCTTGAGTTTAGGCCCTAGCACTAGTTCAGAAAAAAACAAAACACATCTTGTGTAGCCATGTCTGAATTACACATGCCTTCCAGTAGGACACATGGTGGCAACCGCACGCTCCCAGTACTCATCACTGCTGTGAAGCGTCCTTGTGCATTGCTTGTGGTGCCCATTGTCCAGGATGGATAACTAAGACACAACTGAAGGCCTGACGATGTTCACCCTGGGCCGCAGTGCAGGGAGTCATCCCTCTGCCCTGCCTTTTGGCAAGAGCTGATCTCAGCTTTCCACGTTTAACTTTCTGCTGTAGCAAACAGAGCTGCCCCCTTACTCTGTGCTGGCGCTTGGCTCACCAGCCATGTGATGCTGGGACTGCTGAGGAATATTTTCTTAGTCCTTTTCAAGTTTCTTGTTCTGTTTGAAGACACAGTCTGTTTTCTTAGTCTCTCTTTAATTTGCTTCCCTTGGGTCTGGAAGCTACTCACTCTGTCTCCCTTTCTTCCCTCTTTTCTACTTGTCCTTTGACTTGGCTTGCATCCATTTCCTACTGCTTGATTGACTGCTTGATTGCTGGGCCCCACCTGCTTCAGTTTCTTCTTCCCAGTGTCACTCCCAAGACACTTTTTGTACTCCTTATACTTCTTACCTAGTCTCCTGGAGGGCCGAGTATTCTTGCTGGAGGCCCCTGCCTGTTCTCACCTTCCTGCCTTGCAGCAACTTGTGGGTTATGTGGATGGGGTACAGAAGGTATCAACCTCACTTTCAGGTTCTGTTAGTACAAAGCCATTCAGCATGAACAGTGTTCTTCCAAGTGTGGCCTGAACCTTGTTATTCATTTCTTTATAGATGCAAGAAGAAGGTACCAGCCAGCAAACGCTTCAGCATCCATAGGACATCCAACGTGCTCACCCTTTCCCTCAAGCGCTTTGCCAACTTCAGTGGGGGAAAGATCACCAAGGTGAGTGCTCGCAGGATATAGCCTGCTCAGTGGCTCACAGTGCCTCACAGCTGCCTAGGTAGCCCCAGAGTCAGAGAACTTCAGTTTGCCTCACAGGGCCCAGGAATCTGAATGGCTTTCAGTACAACTCAACAAGAAGAGAACCACTGTCCTGGATCCCCCAACCTCTGTCTGTCCATGGAATGTTCCCTAAGTGGGAGGTCAAGCCTTCCTAAGTAAACGTCCTTGGTACTTTTTATCTCTAATCATGAGTGTCCTAAGTCTGAAACAAGTGCAGTTGCATGCTGTGGCCTTTTGTGGAATATGGAGTGAAAATCTACTTTTTTGCATGGTCGGATTTTGCTAGATATGTATGTTTCATAAGTCTACAGTTTTTGTTTAGGACCTGATTATGTGATTTGGGGCAAGGCACTTGTCTTAGTGTCAGCAATATTGAAAACCTTCTCAGAGTCTTTTTGAAGCCATGTTTCATTTTAGATCTCTAAACACCATCATCCAAGTAGTTGCTTGCACATGAACTTTTTCCTTCATTGTTGTAGTATGCCAGACTGAGTGGGTGCTGGAGCTCACTTGAGATCTGTGGTTATGCTTGTGTTTCAGCAATGGTGTAGAGGATTTTTAGGAGGCCTCCTACCTAGCAAGGTTGGATTGAGGCTCACTTATATGTATATTGGCTTTTGAGATTTTGTCAGAAAGAAAAAAATAGCCAAGTATAGTGGTATATACTTGTAATCCTAGCACTCAAGGTGCTGAGGCAAGAGGGTGGTGAGTTCAAGGCCATCCTGGGCTATGTGAGACTTTGTCTTTCCCTTCCCACCCCAGTCCTCCAAAAAAAGAAATTAGATGATATAGGTAAGTCTCACAGATACTGATTTAAAAAAAAAAATCCAGACAAATTGCATGCTTTATGATGAAAGGCAGAGAGAATACATGCTGACAGATCAGAGCATGTTTGAGATGGGACAGTGACGGGGGCACAGAGGGACTTGGTGTGCTGGGGTCTTCTGTCTTGACTGGAGTACAGGCTGTCACAGGGGTCTGCACCTGGGTCTGTGTCTTGCTCCAGATTACATATGTGTTTAGGATGAACCTTATGTGTTTTTGCTCACATAAATATGATGCCCTATCTAACTATAGCATGAAGGATGGGCATGTGACAAGTGGTAGAGCTCCCAACAACCAAATACAAGATCCTGAAAAGTTACTGTGACAACTGGCTGAATTGGTTTAGCACCTGTTTCTGACGTCCTTAACTGCCCCCCACCCCCTACACTCTCCTCCTCCTCCTCTTCCCAGCAGTATTTCTATAGAGTAGAGGGAAAGGAAATGCATTCATCTGGTAGTTGTAAAACAACTACTGTGAGAATTAATTTAGGAATGGGCCACAAATTGTTCTGTGGTCTGATAGCTTAGCTCTCAGTGGCTCATAGCTCCCCATAGCTTATAGCTCCCATGGCCTGGCTGGGAAGACTTCGTCATTTGCCTGCTCAGCTTCTATCTGTGACTTGGGCCTCCTGCTGTAGCCTTGCCACGCATCCGGTTCCCCCATTGTTAAAGCCCAGTCCAAATGGACCTCTTACTTAGATGAATGTAGAAGTAAGAGCAAACCTCTCCTGAACAACTGTTTGCCTCTCTGACTTTTCCAACAGGATGTGGGCTACCCCGAGTTCCTGAACATCCGGCCATATATGTCCCAGAATAGTGGGGACCCTGTTATGTATGGGCTGTACGCCGTCCTGGTCCACTCAGGCTACAGCTGCCACGCTGGGCACTACTACTGCTACGTGAAGGTGAGTACTACCAGCTCTGCATGGGCACTCGCATGCCCAGTACACTGCCTCCTTGGGCAAGCTGGCAGTGTCATAAAGCCAGGCCTGGCCTTTGCCCATTTATTCTGGGAAATGGTGATATTTAGTGTGTGCTTTCATGTCTAATGAAGAAAAGACACCTTTAAAAGGCGATTCCACTGGAATCCACAGAACTCTTGGAAACCCAAAGAAGCAGCTGCCTCGATTGCCTTCCTCAACCTGGAGAAATCTTAGTGGAGGCTGCATGTTGGTGGGAGATGAGGTGGTACCTCAGCCTGCCTAAGTCTTCTTTAGAAGTGACAGAGGAAAGAACTGAGTGATGTGGAGCACTGGCAGAGAGAACTACTAATTATCACCTGGACATATGTAGCAAGACTAATAGTACATTTTGTATTCTCCTTTTAAAGTGAAGACTGATCTGGATGTGGTGGCTACTAGCTACTCAGGAAGCAGAGTTCAGAAGGGTCATGGTTCAAGGCTAGCCAAGGCAAAAAAATTCTAGAGACTTCATCTTGAATAATAAAGAGCTGGGCTCTGGCATTTGCCTGTCATCCTAGCTACTCAGAAAGAGTAAATAAATAGGAAAACAGAGGTCTAAGCCAGTCTGACTAAAAAGCAAGATTTTATTTTTTATAAAAGCAAAATACCCTGGAAACGTGACTTGAGTGTTAGAGGACTTGCAAAGGCCCTGAGTTCAAATCCCAATTATAACGCCCCCCATCCCCCCAAGAAAATAAGAAAAGTGAGGACTAGTCAGATGTGGCAGTACACAGTTTGAATCCTAACACTCAGGAGGCTTGACGCAGGAAGATCGAGAGTTTGAGGCCAGCTTGGGCTTCAGAGTGAGCCCTTGTCTCAAAAAGGAAAAAGAAGCAAGGAAGGAAAACAGGATTGTGGGCTGTCTGTTGATTGTCATTTCCTGCAACCTCCCCCGTGCTGCTCAGGCAAGCAACGGACAGTGGTACCAGATGAACGACTCCTTGGTCCATTCCAGCAACGTCAAGGTGGTTCTGAACCAGCAGGCCTACGTGCTCTTCTACCTGCGGTGAGGACCCTATGCCCCCTCCAGACGAGCTCCTGCTCTCTGGAGCTGTCTCCCCGAGCCTTTCTTGACTGGAGGAGCACACGGGCACAGGCCGTCTCCCAGTCATGTGTGAGAAGCACGTCTACTGGGAAGTGCTCTGTAGCCAAGCCTGCCTGGCTCTTGGGTAAGAACCAGGGCCCCAGAGAGGCCAGGACAAGACAGGAGCATCTGCCCCCCGGTGAGGCTGTGAATGAGTGGGGAGCAATGTTGTGTTGCCTCCTTGGTGGGCTGCAGCACCTCCTTCAGGAGACGCCTTTCCTGCCAGCCACTGACTGGAGGTTGGAGGACATGTTGGCTGGAGAGCTTTGCTGCTGCTCATAGCCCTCCTGTACGGTGATGGATTCAGTTCACTGGAGCCTGAGGGTCTGATCTGGAAACTGACTGCTCTAGCCTCCTGCTCTTGCACAGTTGGTCAGGGCTTTCATCCCAGCCTTGTGGTGGTAGAAGGGCCTGGCTAATGTTCAGAGAAGTCCATTGGGACATTTGCAGTTCCATGGCTGCTTCTGTGCTTTTGCCTGGCTTTCCTAGAAATGGAAGTATAACCCTAACTCTAGGTTAACTTCCTCACCTTCCTCTCCACACCTGTGGGCTTAGCCAGAGATCCCCTGACTTCTTCCTTTGCTCTTGATAGAATTCCAGGTTCTAAGAAAAGTCCTGAGGGTGCCATCTCCAGGGCAGGCTCTGCTTTTCCCAGCCGCCCAAGTGTCATTCCAGATCACACCAAGAAGAGCACTGGCAATGGAGTGGCTTCCTCCCCACTGGCTGTGAAGGTACAGTGATTGCTGATGGGGAGACACGGCTGGGCTGGAGATCCTGCCAGGCATCACAGGGCTCTGAGGCTCCTGTGGGAGCCTTGGGAGGAGTTTGGGGGTAGTGGCCCTGTGTTATGGCACACCATTTCTTGAGCTGGTTGCCATGGAGAACAGGGAGAAGGCCTGGAATGCACAAGTGCCACACACACACCTGGTACACTAAAGCTTATATGATAAAACATAAGGAACATGAAGAATACATCAAAGTTACCTTTTTGTGTCTGAAATTTGTGCCAGTTAACTCAGTTTTCCTAGCCTGGCAGATGATTTAGTCAACTGATCTTTTTGATGACTTTGTGAGTGATCTCTTCCTTCCCCATGGAGTTAACCCCCATACAGGCATCAGGGACTGGCCAGTCTGCAGTGGTGGTAGCCATTTATGGAAGTGTAAATCCATCTCTCACTTCCAACATTGAAAACAACAGAGGCTAAAGTTAGAAACATTGGAATGGATGTAGGAATTACCACACATGATCTAAGTGCAAAGCTGAAGGTCCTGTAGCCCATGCTGGGTAGCTAGGAGCCAGGTGCTCCTGGGACAGAGTGGCCAGGGCACACAGCTCCATAGACACCCTTGAAGGCCATTTTGTGCACCATGGAAGTTGTCATTATAAAATATATATAAACACACACTCATACGCTGAAAATGTATTGAAGGTTTTTTTACTTTCAATGATGAGCCACTTTGTGTATGCAAATGTTTCACAGATTAGTTGGGCAACAGTAGCTCATGCCTGTAATCCTAGCCATTCAGGCTGAGATCTGAGGATCATGATTAAAAGCCAGCCTGGGCAAGAAAGTCTGTGAGACTATCACCAAAAAGCTAGAAGTGGAGCAAGGCTGAAGTGGTAGAGTGTTAGCCTAGAGCAAAAAAGCAAAGGGACAGTGCCTGGGCCCTGAGTTCAAGCTCCAGGATTAGCACTTAAAAAAAAATTAAGAATAAATAGAATTTTATGAAAATATTTGCAGTAAAGACTATGTAGGGCTGGGAAGGTGGCTCAGTGGTAGCATGCTTGCCTTGCTTGCATGAGGCCCTGGGTTCGATTCCTCAGCACCACATAAGCAAAAAAAAGCCGGAAGTGGTGGCGCTGTGGCTCAAGTGGTAGAGCGCTAGCCTTGAGCTGAAGAGCTGAGGGACAGCGCCCAGGCCCAGAGTTCAGGCCCCACAACCGAACCTTCCCCCCCCCCCCCCCAAAAAAAAAAAAAAAGACTATGTAGATCACTGGTACAGCAGGTGCTTAGCATGTGTGAGGCACCAATAAAGGACAAAAGAAATTACAACATGCCTCAAAAGGTTAACCTGAAATATATCACAAAAAAGAACATTGTCTGCCAGGTGTCCATACACTTTGTCTCCATTGTCCTCTAGTGCCCCCCTCCCCTTGCTGCTGCTGAGATCTGTACAGATCCCACCCTGCCTGTCTGCCTACATCACTCCCCAAACCCCTACCCCCAGCTCTGACTGTTTTTTGCCTTGCTGTCTTTTAGCGACAAGACTCTATGCCAATTCGAAAACTGCAGGCCCCCGAGGAGACAGGTGTGCCTGTGTCCAGGAATGGCTCTCTGCCAAGCCTGAAGTCACAAAATGGATACATTCCTACAAAGCCACCCTTGGGGTCCCCCTCCTCCAGACTTATCCTCACGCCTACACACATGCCGGCGCTCCTGGACGAGCCAGGAAAGAAAGCAAAGAAGCTGGTGCCTCTGCAGCCCTCCTCTCCATCCCTCCGGATATCTCAGGGCTCATCTGGTGCCAGTGAAGCTGGGAGCCGGCGGCAGGGCTCCTGGGACAGCAGTGATGCCATCCTCTCTACCTCACCAAAGCTCCTAACCAAGGCCACAGTCAATGGGCATGGGCCAAAAGGAGAAGACCGCTCGGACCCAGAGAAGGGAGCTTCCAGCAGCTCCAGCCCAGAGCATTGCACTAATAGCGGCCCCACCACAGCTCCACAGACCCCCGAGCGCAGAGCTGCCCGCTTCAGCCATTCTCAGGGAACAGACAGTCCCTCTGCTGGTCACGCCAAAGTGCCGCCTAGTGGAGCAGATGCTAAGGCAGCAAAGCTGAAGTCCCCGGCCCTGGGCAGTACTGCCACGGAGCCCACAAGCCTCATGTCTCCTCCACCAGCCAAAAAGCTGGCCCTATCTGCCAAGAAGGTGGGTGTGTGGTCTCATGGCTGGAAGGCCTCACGCCCAATAGGGCTGCTGGCAGTTGGGGAGTCGGGAGTGGCAGAGGGCCTTGATGGCCTCATTAGGAAGAGCAAAGGGCCATTGACCTCCCTTACAAATGATGAAAGGGCTTGGAGTGAAGGTAGAGGTTTTTCTATAGACTCACTTGGGCTATAGAATCTGGGCTGGGAGCAGTTTCTCTTGGGCTGTAGCGGAGGCTTGTCATTGAGCCTCAGGCACAGAGTCCAGCGCCAGGCCACCCATGGCAGGGGCAGGCAGGAGTTGGCCCTACAGGACTCCGGGGCAGAGGCTTGGGGCGAGGGCCCCTCTGCTTGCTGGGAGCTGGGGAGAATTGGGTAGTGGTGCTAAGACTTTGGTTTAAGAGCCCTCCTTTGCCCTTTTTGCTTCTAACCAATAACACTTCTGATTCTTCTCCTGCCATCCCCTCCTTCCACTCCCTCCCCCCATTTTTTTCCTTCTGTCCCCTCATCCTTCCTTCTGAGCTCTTTTATTTTATTTATTTATTTTTTCCACCTTCACTCATGGAAACCTTTTTTTAGACCACCAAGTTTTTATTTATGTCAATAACTGCAGGCCAGCACCTTGCGGAGGGCGACAGGCAATGACCTCCGTTCACCTCCCCCTCCACCATTCTCCGACCTCACCTACCCCATGAAAACCACTCACCCCGTCGTCGCCTCCACTTGGCCTGTCAGTAAAACCAGGTAAGCTTGGGGTGCAGGCCCGGGGGTGACCTATGTGGCTGGTTTATGGTCTGGGGTGTGATACGTCTCCACATGCGTATGGTGGCCTGGTGTGCCGCAGGCTGACTGACCTGGCCTGCCCCTGCATGTGCTCAGAGGCTAAGTAAAGCCCTTCAGGGCTGGCTGTCACACCCATGTGTCAGCCCCAGGGTGATGTCCTAGTCTCCTTAGCCCTAGCCCTGTAGAGCATTCCTGAGACTTTTGACCGAATTATGTACTGGCCTCTGCAGTGGCAAAAGGTCCACTCTTCCCAAGGGCCAGTGTGGCACACTGCTGCACAGGGTGCTAATTAACATCTCTTACATATGTTGACTGGCAGGTGGTTGAGGATCACCAGTATTTGTCTGATTGCCTGAGACATAAAAGTCCCTGGCATGGGCTGGGAAGGTGGCTTAGTGGTAGAGTGCTTGCCTTGCATGCATGAGGCCCTGGGTTCGATTCCTCAGCACCACATAAGCAGAAAAAGCCGGAAGTGGCGCTGTGGCTCAAGTGGTAGAGTGCTAGCCTTGAGCTGAAGAGCTGAGGGACAGTGCCCAGGCCCAGAGTTCAGGCCCCATGACTGACAAAAAAAAAAACCCAACAAAAGTCCCTGGCAGAGTCAAGAAGCAAAGGTGTCAGACTGGAGGGGGCTGGGCACTGATGTGCTCAGCTTATCCTCTGCAGCAGTTCTGTACCTCCCCCATAAAGTCTGCACACACCCCTGTGCCTAGCAATTTGGCAAGTGGTAGGCATTCATTCGATACTTTGCATCCTTGTAGAACTTAAATCTTAAAACCTCCTTAATGCTTAGAATGCCATGACGAAGTGGAGGTAGCCTCATAGTCTGCCCTGGTTTAGGTGATGACTGACAAGTTCTTGTATGCTGAGGTGAGCAGTGTCACCTTTCGCGGATAAGAAAACACTTTCAGGGAGGGATTCAGGTCTCCTGGGCATGTGGCTGGCAAGAAGCAAGTCACAGACCTACCTATTTTGGGGGTAGAAGGAGGGCACTGAGGTTTGAACTTAGGACTTGCATTTGTCAGGCAGGAGGAGCCACACCTCTAGCCCTTTTTGCTGTGTGTGTTTGCGCGAGCGTGCATGCATAGCATGCACTTACACATGTGCCACGTGTCAGTTCCAGGCTTGAACTGGGAGCCTGAGCATAGTCTCTTGAGCTTTTTCACTTAAGGCTGGTGCTCTACCACTTGAATTGCAGCTCCACTTCTAGCTTTTTGGTGTTCAATTGAACTTCCCTGCCTTGGCTGTCTTCAAACTGAGATCCTCAGATCTCAGCCTCCTGAGTAGATAGGATTATAGGCATGAGCTGTTTTTTTTTGTTTTTTGAATAGGTTTTCATATTTAATGCCCAGGCTAGCCTGTACATATTGTGATCCTCGTTTTTTTTTTTTTTGGGTCCGGTCATGGGACCTGAACTCTGGGCCTGGGTGCTATCCCTCAGCTCTTCAGTTCAAGGCTAGCACTCTACCATTTGAGCCATAGCGCCACTTCCGGCTTTTTGCTTTTTGCTTCTGTGGTGCTTAGGAATCGAACCCAGGGCCTCATGCATGCAAGGCAAGCACTCTACCACTGAGCCACCTTCCCAGCCCCTGATCCTTCTATTTATGTATCCAGCATAATGGTGATAATGGGTGCTTGCCACCAGGCCTGGCTTTTGATCGCTGTGACCTTTTTGCCTAGACTGACTTCAAGCCGCCACCCTCCTGATCCCACCTCTCAAGTAGATGGGATCACTTGTGTGAGAAACCAAATCCCGCATGAATTTCCTGTTTTTTTTTTTTTCTTGAATGTTTATTACTTACACTTTATTTGTTTTTTTTTTTTTTGTTGGTCATGGGGCTTAAACTCTAGGCTTGGGCGCTGTCCCTGTGCTCTTCAGCTCAAGGTGAGCGCTCTGCTGCTTGAGCCATAGTGCCACTTCCGGTTTTCTAGTGGTTTATTGGAGATAAGAGTCTCATGGACTTTCCTGCCGGGGCTGGCTTTGAACCACGATCCTCAGATCTCAGCCTCCTGAGTAGCTAGGATTATAGGAGTGAGCCATCGGTGCCCAGCTCTCTGTATCTTAATATACTTGAATTCAAAATTTAAAACAACTGCATGGTCACACAAAGCTAAGGCATGCAGTGCTTGTTAACTTTTAATAGCTTTTAAACTGTGTTAGTCTGTTTTCAAACATACGTATAATTTGTGTCTTAAGAATTATAGAGGAGGGGCTGGAAAGGTGGCTCAGTGATAGAGCGCTTGCCTTGCATGCATGAGGCCCTGGGTTCGATTCCTCAGCACCACATAAGCAAAAAGAAAAAAGCCGGAAGTGGCGCTGTGGCTCAAGTGGTAGAGCGCTAGCCTTGAGCTGAAGAGCTGAGGGACAGCGCCCAGGCCCAGAGTTCAGGCCCCACGACCAGACCCCCCCCCCCCCCCCAAAAAAAAAAAAAAAAAAAAAAGAATTATAGAGGAAAAACAAGCTTTTTAAATTTTCTTAGGTAAGAGCTCTCTTTTCTCCTAAAAAAAAATACAAAATTGTAGCTAAGAGGAGGTGGGTTGAAGGTTGGCAGAGGGAAGAGCTCTTCATGTGTCCTCTATAATGATCTTCCTGTCACCTGATGTCCCTACAGGGCTGTGTCACCTGCTCCCCAATCATTTCACCTACTGAAGCCTCTTGTCAGCCTCTCTTCAGCATCATTGTCCAGTAGTGGTCCCCAACCCCCAGGGACCCCTGAGCCACAGGCCCACCCCCCCACCTGGACTGCCCCGCCTCAGGTCAATGGAGACTTCATGCCCCTATCACACCAGCTGCTGGAGACCAGCAAGGGCCCTCAAAGCCCCTCTAAGAAGAAGAAGAAGAAAAAGACCCTCATGGGAGAGCCACAGGGGCCGGGCTCAGAGGCACACCTCCTACAGTACCTCAGGGGAGCAGCTGATCGGCCTCGCAGGAGGAGGAAAAGGAAGAAGTGCCTCGACTCTGCAGCCACGGCCACCCTGCAGGAAGAGCGGACATGGGAGCACCCTGGGAGCCCCAAGGGCAAGACAAAGGGCTGGCCAGAATGGCCAGCCAGTGTGCAGACGGAAGAAGGCACACAGCCACAGGTGAATGGCCATCCAGTGAGTCATGTCCTTGATGGCCACCACATAAGTAGCAGGAAAAGGAGGAAGACAGGACCGGAGGGACTCATTGAAGATGGCCTCCGTCAGGACCCACCTCAGCACAGGTAAGAGCAGGGCTCAGCCCCAGCTGGAATGCAGAAGTAAAAGGTGGGCTCTCCGGAGACACAGTGCACTAACCTGCACTACAGTGGTACATGGGTGTGGCCATGGACCCATCACTGTGGACAAGGGGGTCTGGGTGTTCAGGATGTGTATATGCAGGACCTGTCCTGCTTGGTCATGTGACACCCTACCCACTTCCCTAAGCCCACTGTGGAGTGAATAAGGGCAAAGCCACCTGTTGGCCCACACTGGCTGAAGGCTTAAGCAGATGGACAAGTTGGTGAGAGTACAGGCCCTCTGAGGACTAACTATTTCCTTTCACTCTCAGCAGCTGCTCCCCCACAGAGCACAGGGAGCCTGGGACCAGAGCAGAGTCTCCAAGGAAAAAGAAAAGGAGAAAAAGAAAGCATGAGTCACAGCAGGAAGAAGAGGACAGTGAGTCCCCGGAAGGCCGGAAGAGCCCGAGGCCCATAATCACCACAGAGCCCGAGTTGAACATAAGCACTCATCCATCTCGGGACTACCTGGGTGAGGACATGGGGAGCAGTGGGAGCCCCCGGCGGTAGCTGTCCTAGTAGCACTTCACTGCCCCGCATTCAGCCATGCCCACATCCTAGCATGAGCTAGTCAGCATTCTGCCACTGTAACAAACACCTTTGAAGATCCACTTAGGAAAGGTGTGTGTCTGGCTGGCTTGTGGTTTTAAACTTACACTTTCAAGTCTGTGTGCTTCGTTGCTGTGGGCCTGTAGTAGAGCAGCACTGCAGGAGCTGGGGTAGAAAAAAGCCGGAAGTGGCACTGTGGCTCAAGTGGTAGAGCCTTGAGTGGAAGAGCTGAGGGACAGCGCCCAGGCCCAGAGTTCAGGCCCCACGACCAGACACCCCCCCCCCCACCAAAAAAAAAAAAAGAAAAAAGAAAAGCTGTTCACCTTATGGCCAGAGAAGGGAAAAAAAATGGGAGGGCTGGAAGGTCTCCTGTCCCCTTCAAGAGCAAGACCTCAGTGCTCAGAAGGTAACCTCTTAAAGGGTCAACCACCTTCCAGTAGTGCCTTTTGGTGACAGCCTCCCAGACACGGAGGGTAGGGAACATTTAAGGCCTGAATGTAGCATGCTGTTTCTGACTGGTGAGGTAGATATACAGCTTCTTCCCTCCATGAGACCAGGACTCTTGTTTTTCAAGAATTGACTGGATAGATCCCTTTCTGTTGGGTAAAATCATTGCTAGTGATTAAGCATTTAGTGTGAGTTCTGCAATTTTGTGGTGAGAGGCAAGTGATTGATTCCACTGTGTTTGATTTTCAATGCTTATGTTTCCTGGCTACTCTGATTTTAGGAGTGGGACAAGCTCCACTTGTGCCCTGGAACAGAGATCGAGAATCTGACGTAGTCCAGGAATTGCTTAAATACTCATCCGATAAGGCCTATGGGAGGAAAGGTACGGCTCTGGGAAGGACTCTTGTGTTCCATGGAGAGCTTATTTTGAAAATGAAGAGAAATGGGCCCTGGTTGACAATGAGTGTGGAGTGCGGGCACTGCCCAGTTTTAAACACAGGAAGAGGATCTCAATGATTGTTGAGTCCTCTAGCCTCCCACAGAGTTAGCCACTGCATGAGGTGAGTTTAGTCAACAGGGAGATGCAGAACACTTTCTCTGAGTCCAGGAGCGGGGCAGAGTGGTAAGGTTCAGGGGAGCAGGGCAAGGTGGACAGTCTCCCCAGCACTGTACTGACAACTCTGACTTGGATACTTACTTTATAAGTTAGACTTTGAGAATGTGCATGACCCTTTATATCTCAAATGAGGGAAGGGATTCCCTGAGAAGGAGATGCCACTGAACCCATGTCCTCCACGTTGTCTCTTCTGCACACTTGGGTCACTGACATCCTAGGCCCTCCGCATATCTGATTCTGCCAAAAGGCAGCCCAAAGGAGTCTTGGGAGTGGTGGGTCTAGCTGGGAAGCCCGGGTACCTGACGTTAGGAATATGTTGCACAGTTCTGACCTGGGACGGTGAGCTGTCTGCTATCAGTCAGGACGCCATGGAAGACAGCAGACTGGCCCGGACCCAGACTGTGGTTGATGACTGGGATGAAGAGTTTGATCGAGGGAAGGTATGTGGGTGTGCCCTTGGGCTTGACAAAAACACTGCAGGTATGCGTGGTATAGCGTGGGCTGAGGAAAAAGCAATATGGGCTTTTAGTGCATTTGTTAGTGCACCTGTGTCTCAAAGCAGTGGTGAAGAGGCTGGAGTGAGCCAGGGGTTCCCATCCCAGCTTGGTCCTTCACGTATGTTCAGTTCATTGCCATGGGCTAGATAGGACCTCAGGGGAGCAGGGACGTGTATGCGTGTATGCAGGAAGGAGCCAGCAGAGCACTGCGGAAACCCTTCTGGGAATTGAGACACCTGATTCTTGATGTAGGAAAAGAAAATGAAGAAATTCAAGAGAGAAAAGAAGAGAAACTTCAATGCATTTCAGAAGCTTCAGAGTAGACGTAATTTTTGGTCTGTGACTCATCCAGCCAAGGCCGTCAGTCTTAGCCATCGTCTCTGAGCCCTTTGCTGACAAATAGGTTAGTTCAGATGTAAAATGTTTAACTGTGCTATTTGTGTGTGTGTTATTTCTGAAATGTACTACCTATGGGATGTGTGTATATGGTGTGTTTATCCTGGGTGTGGGGGGTGGGGATGAGTGGGATGTGTGTATGTCTCAGGGATGGGTGTCTGTGGTGTGGGTATGTATATCTGCTGGGTGTCTGTCTAGTATATGGTAGATGTGTATTTATCAGGTTGGTGTCTGTCTGGTGGGTGTGTATTCTGAGGATCTGGTACGTCTGTTGTATATGTGTATATCTGCTGTATCTGGCATGTGCATATATGGTGTGTGTGTGGGTGTCTGTTGTATCTAATGTATGAGCACATGTCTGTATACCTGGTAGGTTTCTGATGTGCACATGTGACATGGCTATGTGTGTGTCTGGTGTGTCTATATCTGTGGGGGGGGGGGGTGTGTGTGAGAGAGAGAGAGAAAGAGAGAACTACTATGTGGATCTGTTTATGGTGTGTGTTTGTGGCTTATAATACATGAATATGCCTGTGGTGGATGTGTCCATGATATGTGTAGATCTGTCTGTGTTGAGTGTGTCTGATATGTGTGTGTTTGTGATATGTCCTTGAGGTATGTGTGTGTCTGTGGTATGTGTGTCTGATGTGTGGTGTATGGGTCTGTGGTGTGTATCCTAGCTTGGTCCTTCATGTATGTTCAGTTCATTGCCATGGACAAGATAGGACTTCAGGGGAGCAGGGATGTGTATGCCTGTATGCAGGAAGGAGCCAGCAGAGTACTGGGCGTGTGGATATGGTGTGTGGTGTGTCTGTTGAGTGTATGTGTCCAATATGTGTGTGTCTGTGTGGGTCTGTGTGGTGTGTAGGTCTGATGTGTGGTGTATATGTGTGATATGTGTGTGGGGGTCTATGATATGTGTTGTGTAGGTCTTTGTGTGTCTGATGTGTGGAGCATGTGGGTCTGTCTGTGGTATGTATGTGATGTGTGTGTCTGATGTGTGGTATGTGGGTCTGTGTGTGTCTGATGTGTGGTGTATGTGGGTCTGATGTGTGGTGTGTGTGAGTCTGTCTGTAATGTGTTTCTCTTGACGTGTGGTGTGTATGGGTCTGCCCATGTATGTCTGATGTGTGGTATGTGTCCCTATTGATGTGTGGTCTGTGATGTGTACTAGCGACTTGTAGAGGTGACTATTGTATCTTTCAGCTCTTCAGGATGCCGTGCGCTGGTGTCCTATGTGGACCACTGAGGGTGACAGTGAGGATGCGAGTCTCTTCTCACCTGGAGGATCAGTGTTCCTGTAGCCTCCTAGAGCGGTCGTATTCTATATCATGGGTGCTGTCCATCTAGATCTGGAGTGCGGCCTCGTGGGCTTCGCTGCCCAGTCACCTCTGCACTGTGAGCTGTCACAGTGAGGGCTCGGGAACCACAGTCTCCAGTTGACCCTACATAGAGATCATGTGGCTTCTGCAGCTCAGGACCTCTAGTGACATTCACACAAAGAGCTGGCAGCCACCCATGAGGACCTGGAAGGCCAAGCATCATGGACAGTGGAGTCTGTGTGACAAAGCCTCTACCACTGGTCAGGGGCTGTCAGAGCAGAAGAGTCAGGTGGTGTCTCCAGCACATCCTTTGCTCAGGTGGTAGGCATATGCTTGGTAGCTCTTTCTGGTGAACTGTCCCTTGTTCCCTGAGGTGGGGACTGCCTCATCCTGCATCCTGCCCTGCCTGTGCCCTACCCACAGGGTGAGGGGCTGTGTATGCCTTACTGTTAGGGCAGAAAGGAAGCCCCATGCGACCCGCCCTGCCACTTCTTGTTCAGTGCATCACCTCCTGAGAAGGTAGGGCAGAGGAGCCCTGGAAACTGTGTGCCAATGCCCCCGCTTTGAAGGCTGCTATCTATTCTGATGACTGTGGAGCTCCCCTTAAAGCTGCAATAACCCACGGCTCCCTGCGGAGGTGGCGCATGGGGGTGGACTCTCCGTTATTTTACTACTTAATATAAAGCATTTATTTTTGACCAGGCCTGTGGCTTTCAGTAGCAATGTGTTTTCCTAATATGCAAATACTGGCTTTGTTTGCTCAATTTTGTGAGTGCTTTTGAATCTCTATGATTGTATGACTCAAGAAGAGTCCTTTTTTTATCCTGCTCAAGCTGTGCCTGCAGACTTAGACTGTCCTATACATCAGCCTTCAGTGATGGTGGTTTCTCCAAGGGCTGAGGTGCAGGAGGTCTACCCCACAGGACATGGCTCCTGCTTCCTAGGGCTCTGTGCACCTCCCTTGGGCATTGCCCATTCTACTTTGTCACTGCTGCCCTCCTGCTGAGGTAGAAGGAAGAACTCCGTTGTTCACGTGAGAAGATGCATTTAGTCTTTTCATGGTGGTGGTTCTCTGGTCTTCCTTCCTGTTTCTGTAGTTCCCTTTAGGTGAGGGTGGGAGGGACAGGTAATTCCATTGCCTGGCATGTGGGCCAGTTCTTCCAGCAGAATACAGCAAGCCTTCATGGGGACAGGTTTCAGAGTGGCTACAGGTGGGAGTGCAGGGGGGGCATGCGATGGCCTGGAATTCTCATCGTGGGAGGGAAGCAGGTGCCTTCCTAGGCAGGGCTTTTCTTTTCCTCTTGAGGTGTTGACACTTGTTCCTGTATGAACTTGTTTCCTGGCCGTATTTTTTTCTGTGATGTTCTATAGTCGAAATGTCCACTAGCACAGAATTGGCCTTCTTTCTTTCCCTCCCTTCTTTTCTCCAAATCATCCTTCTCCTGGCTGTGCTAGATTGTGTACTAGGGAGAAGGCATCATGAGAGAGCAGGGCAGTGGGAAGCCAACTTCCACTGCTTGTTACAGCCAACCAGGGGCTAGGCAGGATAGGGCCCAGAAAACCGTCTGAGTTCCCCATGCTGTGTACATATATAAACACATTAAAGTAGCGCAAGCTTCTCTAATAGTCATTTGGGGGGTGAGAATCCAGTTTTGACTTAGCTGTGCTTGGCAGAGAAGGTGGTCTGGACTGCTCAGAGAGCAGTGCCCCACCCCACCTGCCCCTCCCCATGTTCCGTGTTGTTGGTGGGCACAGGAGTCCCTGCCCTCTGTACTTCCTCTTCAAGGCCTGGGGAGCCCTAGGCATTGCCAAGACCTTGGTGCAATAAAATGCTGTGTTTTTGTGCGTCCTCTCTGTCTTGGTCTTTTTCCTCTCATTTTTTAAAGTTGCCTCCCAGCAAACTTCCAGTCTGTCCCTCTAGGAAAGTTGTCTCTATTGCACGTAGAGCCAGTCCCCCACACCTGGGGAAGTGCGCCTACAGAGCCCGGGAGTTCTGGGCTAGCCTGAGTAACACATGCTCAAAAAAAGGTGGGAGTGGGGTGGGGGGCTTAAAGAGATAAAGGGGCTGGGAAGGTGGCTCAGTGGTACAGTGCTTGCCTTGCATGCATGAGGCCCTGGGCTCGATTCCTCAGCACCGCATAAGCAGAAAAAGCCAGAAGTGGCACTGTGGCTCAAGTGGTTGGGTGCTAGCTTTGAGTTGAAGAGCTGAGGGACAGCGCCCAGGCCCCACAACCAACAAAAAAAGAGATTAAACTTATTTTACAAGTATACTTACTAAATTTATTAATGACCTTTTTGAAGTGCTTCTGTTAATTTTGAAGGTGATTTTAAACAAATACTATATTAAGGAAACCTTTCCTTTGTGTCTTTTACTAATAATGTTTGGCTTTCTGTAGAGAAAGATGAGGGAGAAAAAATAGATTTTGTTAACTAGCAGGACGTGTCACTATTGCCAAGAATGGGCAAGGAGGATTGCTTCCCAGGAACGGAGAGCAGGTGGTAGCGGTGGAGTCAGCACCAACCCTGTCCCTTCAGACCCTGTGGTGGCTTCTTGTGCCGGCTGCTTCCCTGGCCACAGGTTAGAGATCAGTGTTTCATATGTGGCTTCTCTGTCCACACGAATTTGACAGGCTTCTATGGAGATGGCTGGCCCTGAGCTCCTGTCCTTGGCACTGCAGCTCTGTGGCAAGCAGGGCATCTGGCCTGGAAGCTTAGGTCAGTGCTGGTGGTCAAGAAGCTTGTTCTATGTCCACTTGAGCCACAGCACCACTTCTGGTTTTCTGGTAGTTAACTGGAGATAAGAGTCTCATAAACCGGGGGCTGGGAAGGTGGCTCAGTGGTAGAGTGCTTGCCTTGCATGCCTGAGGCCCTGGGTTCCATTCCTCAGCACCACATAAGCAAAAAGAAAAAAGCCGGAAGTGGCACTGTGGCTCAAGTGGTAGAGCGCTAGCCTTGAGCTGAAGAGCTGAGGGACAGCGCCTAGGCCCAGAGTTCAGGCCCCACGACCGGACCCAAAAAAAAAAAAAAAAAGTCTCATAAACCTTGCTGCCCAGGCTGGCTTCAAACCACAATCCTCAGATCTCAGCCTCTTAAGTAATTAGAATTACAGGCATAAACTACCAGCTAAGATTTGTTTCTTATAGACAAGAAATGATCAGGTTTTGCTTTTTAGTTTAACTTAGTTCTTTTAATTAGTTGAGAATATTAACTTTCCTTTTCTTCCGATGTTTACTTTTCTGTTCCTTTTTTTTTTTTTTTTGCTAGTCCTGGGACTTGAACTCAGGACCTGGGCACTGGCCCTGAGCTTTTTTTTTTTTCAAATTCAAAAGATACTATACAGAGGGGTTACAGTTACATGAGTAAGGTAGTGAGTACATTTCCTATAGAGTATTGTTACCCCCTCAGCCCTGAGCTTTTGCTCAAGGCTAGCATTCTACCACTTGAGCCACAGTGCCACTTTCGGCTTTTTCTGTTATGTGGTATGGAGAAATCTAACCCACGGCTTCATGCATGCTTGTCTAGCCATATTCCCAGCCAACGTTCAGTTCGTTCTCCCCCTCCCCACCCAAGATTTCTGTATTGTCATTGAGTTCCTCTTTTGTATCCTGTGTTGTCTTTTATTTCGTCCGGCTATTTGTTTGAATTCTCTTTGAGCTCATCTACTTGTATCTCTGAATTCATTTAGGTGCTTATACATCTCCTAAGTTTCACTGGTCATTTGCCTTTTTTTTTTAATTTGTTGTCTGAAATTTCATTACTTCATTTAAGTCCTCTATTGTGGAGTTGGCATTGAAGGTGACATCTTGTTTACTCTTGAATTTTGTGGTTTATTTTACTGGAATGTACAACTCTGTGGCCTAGTTCTAGGTGGAACTTTCAGTTTTCTGTGCCCTTTTTGTTAGTGATTCCTCAGAGATGGCTTAAGAGTGGTCTGTGGCGGGTTGTGGTGCACTTTCCTGTCATTAAACTAGAAGAGTGGGGCCCAGTTATCAAACATTCAACTTCAACATGTACAGACTTTCCTCACTCAGGGTGAGGAAGCTTGGTTGCAAGATACTGCAAGTGATAAAGCACCACCTATGTTTGTAGTCATCCTTAATGAAGACCAATCACCTCCACAGTTCTAGTATCTTCGGAAGAATATGGAAAAATTGATGTATCTTCATGATCTAGGAAGAACTTAGTTAACTAGGGTGCTGACAGGAAGGCGAGAGGGGAGATAACAAGCTGTGTGGCTATATAAGAAAAAAGTAGCCGGGTACCAGGGGCTCATGCCTGTAATCCTGTCTATTCAGGAGGCTGAGATCTGAGGATCGATGTTCAAAGCCAGCCTGGGCAGAAAAGTCCATGAGACTTAACCACCAGAAAGGAAGTGGCACTGTGGCTCAAGTGGTAGAGTACTTGCCTTGAGCAAAAGGGAGCCCAGGGACAGTGCCTAGGCCTAGACTTCAAGTCCCACAACTAACAAAAAAGGAGTAAGATAAGCGGAAAAGACCTAACATTGTGAGACAGAGAAATTGAGAGACCTGGATAGATAAACACATATACAAAACAATAGCCATGTGCTGCTGGGTCATGTCTGTAATCTAGCAACGAAAGAGGCTGAGATCTCCTCAGGTTCTGGTTTGAAGCAAGCCTTGACAGACCAATCTGTGAGGTTTTTTGTTTTGTTTTGTTTTTGTCATGGGGCCTGAATTTGGGGCCTGGGAGCTGTCCCTCAGCTCTTCAGCTCAAGGCTAGTGCCACAGCATCACTTGCAGCTTTTTCTGCTTATGTTGTGCTGAGGAATAGAACCCAGGGCCTCATGCATGCAAGGCAAGCACTGTACCACTAAGCCACCTTCCCAGCCCCTGTGAGATTCTTTAATTAACCACCAAAAAATTTTATAAGTTGGAAGCAGAGCTGTGGCTCAAGTGGTAGAGTGCTAGTCTTGAGCAAAAAAGTTCATGGACATGGTCCCGGCCCTGAGTTCAAGACCCACACCAGCACAAAAACAAAAAAAAAAAAAATGGGCTTTCAGCTTCCTGGCTACCTCTCAAGCCACCTCTGCCAGTTCTCAGCCATGCCTGCACTCCTCCAGAGTGTCCTTGTCTTCTCCATGATAACTTCTCTGTGCCAGGACTGAGGTGGGTAATCTCCACACCCAGATCACCTCTGCTGCAGGCCTCTCTCCTGTTCTTTGAAGCCTCTGTGCCGCCAGTGTACTTCCCACAGCCCGAACCTCTCCGTAGGGTCCTGTCTCAGCATCTTGTGACCCAGTCACTTCCGGACTCGGGCAAGGAGCCCAGAGACTACAAGCACCACAATTGTACCTCATCTCAGGCCTCCAGTCTGCAGTAGTAAGTAGACACTATCTCAAGATGGTGTTTGACTAGGCTTCTCTGAGGTGGGAAGTGATAAAGGCCTTTTTATTCAATCCTAGCCTGCCTTCCACCTGTCTCACCAGTCCCTGTACTGAGAGTATAGCTTTGTGGGGTGTGTGGGGCTTTCCCCGCCACAGCTAGAGTTAGCAGTTTGTTACCAGGACTGTCTCCTTTATCTAGTAATGGTGTCTCTCACTTCGCCTTCCCTGCTCCCTCCTAGAGAGCGGGAAGGAGTCTGGAACTCCTTGCTGCCTTTCTTTTTGCTGACTTGGTTTCTGCCTTCCCACACCGTCTTTGACTTCCCCATGCCCCACGAATGGTCTGCTAAGAAGCCTTGGTCAAATCTTAGGATATAAACCTTCCCAAGTAACACCAGGGGGCATTTCCGGTGCCCTCTGTTCCCCCTTGAAACTGCTCCAGCTTTCAAACAAAAATCTGCTTCTGGCTCCAGGCACTACCCAGGCTCCTTGTCTTCTCAAGGACATCTTCGGGGTACCCTTTCTAATTGGCCAGGATGGAGGTTTGTAATCAGGACTTGCTCCAGGAGGAAGGAGGGGGTCTTCTGTGAGTCAACATTGCAAATTTGGGTCCTTTCTGTCATTATCTATACAAGGCAGAGGTTAGAGTAACATCATCAGTGGCTGTGGGCTGTCTCTGTCTCCCCGTCTAAGGTACTTGTTTCTATTGGTTTTCTCCCTGTCTGCATCCTTTGGGAGGACGGTGATAAGAAGAGCGTGGCAGGAGAAATGTGGTCACTAATTGCAGTCTCTTGGGCAGGTGCTATGGCTTTTTACTTTGGTCAGGTCAGATTTTACCAAGTACGTGGCTGCCTGCTGTAAAATGTGTGCAGGGAACCCCCACTGGCTGCCCCATACGTGACGAGGTGGTCATATTCCTGGCTGAATTAGCAATTGCCTTTTGCTCTTTAGTACTGTCCCCACGCCCCTTGAAATGTATTGTTCTGTACTATTTCTGTCCTCAGTGGCCATAGTTAAACAGTTCTTATTGGCAAAGACAGGGTCATTGTCTTCCACCAGGGCCCAGTGAACCAGAAAAGCTAATGGAGGAAGCCTGGATGTGAGGGTGCATTTGGACTCTGCTCTGAAGCCAGCCAGCCCATCCCCCTCACAGCCACAGCTCGGAAACCCTCCAGGACCTCGGTGGATTTCCGCTGCCTTTCCTGAGCCCCGCCCGGCCCCTTTGTCCTGTTCAGATGTGAAAGCATGTTGGTGAAGAGGAACCAGAGCCTCCATTTCTCCTTTGGAAATGAACGCAGGATTCTTGGCATGCAGCCAGCTGCCTTCTGGGTGGCACACGAACAGTTGGTGACAGCTGGATACAATCAAGTTCCATTACAAACACATTTTAGGTGCCATTCACACACAGAAGAGATTGCAAGCTTTAGCAAAATAATATCGGGGGAAGGGGGTGTTTAAAGCAAGGCAGTGCCACATCTGAGCCTGTGAGGTTCTCCATCCCCCGCCCGCC